ACCAAGGAAAGTGCCTGAAACAAGAAATGTTGCTGCCCCTGAAAATGACCAACAGGCTGCCAATGCAGGTGACCAACAGGCTGCCAATGTAGATGACCAACAGGCTGCCAATGCAGACGACCAACAGGTTGTAGTGAACTATTTTGATGGTGAAATTGATGCACAAGTTGAAGTAATAGTGGCCTCAGTATAAGCTGAATACCAAGCAACTCATGCATCTCAGATAGTGAATCCAACAATACCAACACTTCTCCAAAAAAGAAGAAGAAAAAGCAAGTGGGATCTAAGAAGAAACGAAGACAATTTAGCCTTTTTTTTAATCTTGAATGTAATGCAAGACATTGTATTTTGTATGGTATTTTGATTGTACTTGTATGGTATTTTGATTGTACTTGAATTTGGTAATTTGATTGTACTTGAATTTGGTATTTTGATTAGAGGTTGTATGTACTGGTATTTTTTATGACATTAAATGATACAAAAAGTACAACACCATGGGTACAACAGAACCAATTCTACATGTCTATAACACATTCCACCTACTACTAAACATAATAGCAAAAAAAATCCAAGATGCAATAAAAAAGTAAGTGAGGACATTACTGGTCTTCTGATCATTTGCAGACTTAATTTTTAGTTTCTCAATCTTCTTCTTGTTCATTGTATTCCCAAAATCATGCATAAAATTCTTCCCAAACTCTACTCCACAATTCCTTATAACCTCAATCATCTTCTCACTTTCAGTGCAACCTTCACCACACCTTGGTTCATCATATTTTCCACTTTCAAGTTCATCGTCCTAGTAAAATAGATGACAATCATCATCGTTCTGGAAAATAGATGAGAAGTTTGAAGATTAAAAAAAATGAAATCTGGAAAACTATTAAGATACATCACCATTACATGAGGTATGAACAAAGGATATGAAGAAATTTGAACAAACCCCCTAATTTTTACACTTCCAATATCTTCTTCCTGGGTTTGAGCTTGATTTCGAAACAAAGTTTCTCATAGGGAGCTCATGTCCATAAATTGGAGTTTTTCTTCCACTGGATTTAATCCCTGAACTTGCGGTTCCTACCATAGGTGAAAATTACATATGACAGATGAAGAAGAACTTGTGTTGAAGATGAAGGCGTTTTGAAGATGAACCCTAGATGAAGATGTTGCACATACGAAAAAGAACATAATCAACTTGCAATTTGTTTTGTTTTACTTTACATTATTTAACACTGGGGTTGTAAATAAATAAATAAATAGATATAAAGCCACATAATACTCATTTAAACTACAAAAGTCGACATGTCAATTCCTCATCAATATTTTAAGTGACCAGTGTAACGCCCGTAATTTAATTAAATTATTTTTGGATTATTTGTGAAGTTGTGCTATGATGATAATTGATGTGTTGTTGTTATTAGATTTAATTATTCTATTAAGTCGTGGAATAATATTATTTGTTGCGGGCTCATTTTAAGGACTAGAAGTAGTAGAAAAGAGGGTGTAGGAGTTTTAAGCCCATTTAGACATAATGAAAATTATAGGGTTATTATATTAGTTATTTAGAGTTAGTATGGAAAAAGAAGTAGCAGTAAGAAGAGAAAGAAAATAAGGGTTGGAAGAGAACGTGAAAATTGCAAAAAAGAAGGAAAAGAGGCAGAACGAAATTCAATCGAAAAAGTCATAGAGTAACCTTCAATCCAAGGTAAGGGTGGGGTTCTGACTCTATAATAGAGTTTATGATGAGTAGTATGTGGGATTAGATGTGAAAATTTTTCTTGTTTATGATTGGAATGTATATATTGTTGTATGATGAAGATCAATGATTTAGAAGATGAGTAATGATGCCCTAATATTGTATAATTGATGTAGAAATATAGGATTATTATAATTGATAATTACCTATGATTAGAGGATGTTTTTAGGGCCTAAGGCAGGGAAATCACGGTGAAAGCACAGTTAAATCACAGAAAATATTCATGACAAAACAATATGAGTCAACCTCAAAGGCCATGCATCGATACATGCAGGCTTTTAGACTCAGGATGAGTGGATACATAGAGCTATGCATCGATACATGCAGTGTTGCAGACTCATTATGAGTCGATACAAGAGGATTGCGCGTCGACTCATGCAAGATTTTAACCCAGTACGCGTTGACTCAAAACATTAGGCGTCAACTCATGTAGTCTGATTTTTGGCAAATTCATTTCCAAAGGCTGTAACTTGAGTTTCCGGACTCCGTTTGAGGTGTCGTTCGAAGCGTTGAATAAATGACGTGATGAACTTCATTCTTAAGGATTAAAATGAAGGATAAGAAGAATAATCCTAGTAACTAAAATTAGGATTAGAGTTAGCTTCCCGCGTTAATCGCTGTGATGATTTTGTAAAGTATGATGAGGATAAGATGATTATAGATTATTGATTGGTTCATAACAGTAAGATTAATGATGATAATGATGTAGTATTGCAGAATAATAATATATAAAGGTTTGGTAATTAGAGATAAGCCTTAGATGATTAATTAATTATATGCATTATCTTGTTGTAGGCCCATGACCAACATTGAGGGATTATCGATCTATCGTTGTATTGTTGTTGTGGCTGAGTTGCTGTAAAATTATGTTGATTAATTACATTGATGAAATTATGTTGATTAATTATGTGATGAATTATATTGATGAATTATGTTGATGAATAATGTTGATGAATAATGTTGAGATGCCTCTAATAATTGGCAGCTATTAAGATGTAGGTTTCTGGCCAACGATGATGTTGCATTGAGTTGTTGTTAATTGTAGTTGTTGTTACTACATTCATGATTGTGTCGCATACATTGCATATCAAGATGAAGCTGATGCTCGTTAAAATGACCTGTATTGGCGAATATTAAGATGAAGGCTTATGCCTTGTTGATGCCTCTATTTATTGGCAATTATTTTGAGATGGGAGTTCTTCTCCAATGGTACCACATGCATTTGCATAGTATTGAGTCGAATTATATGATTGCATAAAGAAGTTGTGCATTGATGCAATAAATGTGTATATAGTTGGTATTCTGTTGCGATTATTGTTGTTTATAAGATGAGGAATGGTGATATTATGTGATCTAATTTAATATATTATTTATCATACGTTTTATTTTATTGTTAGATATCTCACCTCTTCTGTTTGAATGTTACCCTTATGTTGGTAACATGCAGGTAATACAGAGTGAAGGCAGTATACCTTCAGTATTTCGAGTCGGTGTTATTACTCTGATATGTAACACTCGGGGGGATGAACACTTGTTGCTTTTAATTATTGATTATTTCAGTTGTTGAACTTTAATTTGATTGTTGCTAAGTATGTGTTATATTGAAGTTATTGTAACGATGTAAAAAGATGTTATTATGATTCCGCTACATAGTTGTTCAAGTTGTTGAATTAAGAGATTAAAGTATTCTGCTGTTGGTTCATCCGAAGTTTTAAAGTGTTATGTATCCATGTTGAATGTAATGTGTCTTTACGTTGAATTTGTGACATCCTGATTCAGTTGTATGAATTTTAAAACTCTGATTTATATTCATAATTTGTCGGGTAGAATTGAGGTGTTACAACCAGATCCATTAAAGGACTAAAACGAGAGAATCTTCAAATCACGGGAATAAAATATGTATTTTTTAACGGGTCGTTTTTGAGATTCACCCTATATGACAGGGGGCAAAATGATTATTAACCCTTTAAATTATTGAATATCCTTCACCCCTAGTTATGTATACTTAATTTTTAAATATAAAAGGAAATAAAAAAAGAATCTAAAATTTTGCAAGGTTTTTTGAAAATAAAAAGGAACTAGAAATTTTGAGGGTAATACATATTTTTAAATAGAAAATGGAACATGATTTCAGATTTTCAACTAAAATAAAATAGACGTGAAATTTCACAGGGTATATAAAAATCAGAGGGGTAGGGTTCAAACCCATGATCCTAAGGTCGCAATGGAACAACCTTACCGTTGAAACCATTTTGAAGATGAACCCTATATGAAGATACTGCACATACGGAGAAGAACATAATCAACTTGCAATTAATTTTGTTTTACTTTACATTATTTAACATTGAGGTTGTAAATAAATAAATAAATATAAATAAAGCCATGTAATACTTATTTAAACTAAAAAAACAGACATGTCAATTCCTCATCAACATTTTAAGTGATCAGATCCACTAAAGGATTAAAACGAGGGAATATTCAAATCACAAGGATGAAATATATGTTTTTTACATGGTTGTTTTTGTGATTCACCCTATATGACAGAGGGAAAAACGATTATTACGTGAAATTTCGTAATTTAGGTTTGAATCCATAACCCCAAAGAGACAATTCAACAACTTTACCATTGAACCAAACCGCTTTGAAGATGAACCCTAAATTAAGATGATGCGCATACGAAGAAGAACATAATCAACTTGCAATTTATTTTGTTTTACTTTACATTATTCAACATTGGGGTTATAAATAAATAAATAGAAATAAAGCCATACAATACTCATTTAAACTAAAAAAATTGACATGTTAATTCCTCATTAATACTTTAAGTGATCAGATCCACTAAAAAACTAAAATAAAGAAATCTTCAAATCAAAAAGATAAAATATATGTTGTTTTTACAAAATTATTTTTGAAATTCATTTTATATAACTGAGGACAAAATGATTATTATGCGAAATTTTGTACAATTTAGATTTGAACCCATAATCCCATAGGACAATTCAACAACTTTACCATTGAATTAAAACTACTCATTTGATATATTAAAATCCACAAGACATTATTACACTACTCGTCAAAAAAAAAAAAAAAAAAAACGCAAGGGAAAAAAAAGCGCGGGAAAATACACCAGCGTTTTACAAGAGGGTTGGGGTTTCTATTCGAGAGTTTAGCAGTAGCAGTAGTCATCAACTTCGAATCCAAAGGGTAATCTGAGATCTCCGAGATCTTAATTTCTTCGCCGACGATGAGCGGTGCTGGCCGGAAATGGGACCGGAGAGACAACAGAACGTCAAAGAAGCAGAAATTGATTAAGAACGCTGAGGAAGAACTTGAAGCAAAGCTAGGGTTTGATCTTTTCTCAGAAGGGGAAAAGCGACTTGGATGGTTACTCACCTTTTCAACTGTAAGTCAAAGTAGTGTTGAATTCAGTTTTCCTCTAGTTATGCTATTGAATTGGTGAAATACTTATTACTAGATTTGCTTAAGCATGAGTGAAATTGTTTCTCATAGAAGCTTTTACCTCGATAAATTGTAGAATTGTACTACTGTAATGTAACTACTCATTACTTAATTCTTTTGTTGCTTTTGTACATTGTACATATCTTGTTGCACATATTGTACCGACACCTCTGAAAAAAGGCGTGTCCCTGTTGACACTTGTGATTACGTCCAGTTTATTTATTTTTTTGAAATTATTATCGGTGTTGACGTGTTAGTGATTTGTACGGTGTTTCTGTCTGTATCCGTGCTTCTTAGTTTACTACTTATATTTGTGATTGTGGTTCTCAGTTGTTGCACATATTGTTTTGACTAGTTATATTTGAATTTGTGGTTCTCAGTATACTATAATGTTGAAAGTATTTAATTGACATGCAAGGAGTGTATAATATAAGTTCTTTTATTTATTTATGGTGTCAATTAATCATACCTTGTTGTTTAAAAACATTTGATTTTAATTGCATCTACCTCTGCTTTACTTAAATGTGCTGTGCAGAATACAGCCCTCTTGCATTTTCCAGTCTATATGATGTTGGGGTATCCTAGGATTATCTAGTAAAGTCGGAAAGGACTTATTAGTTATTAGTGAAACTCTACTTATCATTATTCACTCTCTGTTTGGTTGACAACAACAACTACCAAGCCTTATCACACTAAATGGAGTGGGCTACATGAATCAACTTCTGCCATAATGTTCTATTCATGACCATGCTTCTCTCCAAATTGTTAATTTCTAGATATTTCTTAATAACTTCTCTTACAATTTGTCTAGGTCATCCTCTATCTCTATCTATGAGTCCTCTCCATCTGATCTACTCTCCTTACCACAAAATCTACATGTCTTTAACTCTCTGATCGGTTGACTTTGTAATGAATTTTACACCGACAGTGCATCAAAATTAATCTCATATTGAAATATAACATAATATGCTAATTCATTTTTATGTGATATATATTTCCCTTGAATAGATGTTACACTTTTTTCAGTTCTAAATTTTGAAGTCACAACAAATTTGTTTGATGTAATACTTTTGTGGAAGGGACTTATACACACTTTACCATGCTTTGCAGTCATCTTATGAAGATGAGGATACCCACAAAGCCTACAGTTGCGTTGATCTTTACTTTGTCACACAGGTATTGTTCGGCTGAAATGCTTTGTTACTAATTTTTCCACCAAAAGAGGGACCTGGTTTGGTAAATAGGTTATTGATTGGAGTGTGCTTGCAGGATGGGTCTTCATTCAAGACAAAATACAGATTTCGCCCTTATTTCTATGTAGCTACAAAGGTGAGTGTGCACATTTGCATGCATGCATGTAGAGGTTGTTTATGCGTGACTATCTAATCGTCAATGTTCATTGCCTTTACAAATTTATTCTGATTCCGTGTTTATTCTGTGGCGACAATCGTCACTTTCACAATGGTAATGGTAATTGTGATTATGTAAATTTAATAGAATAAAATGGAGATGGATGTTGATGCATATCTGAGACGACGTTATGAAGGCCAGATTGCAGATATCAAAATTGTAGAAAAGGAAGATCTGGATCTTGTAAGAATTTTATTTGTCTCTTATACAACTTTAGCATTGATAATCTGTTTTCTTGGATTTTATAGTGTAATTCCTTCCGGAGTTTAAGAAGTTTAAGTCAAAATGGTTAACGACACAATCAGCATTGAAGTTTTCATTTTACTTCAATCAATTAGTCCATGCATACTCTGTATCTCCTCATAAATGGACCCTGAATTATTTTCATTTATCTGAACAGAAAAACCATTTGTCTGGATTAAGAAAATCTTATTTAAAGATTTCATTTGATACCGTGCAACAACTGATGAATGTGAAGAGTGACCTGATGCATGTTGTTGAAAGAAATAAGGCGAAGTCTGATGCTGCAGAAGCCTATGAGTCCATATTATCGGGGAGAAGGTAAATTAAGTTTCATGGGACAGTTAATTTTTAGATTGAAGTTTACTTCATTTAACTATAGAATTTCATTTTTAGTGCATATATTCTTAGTAGATTTTAACTTTACTTTGTAACCTGATCTGATCCTAGCCTGTATGTTGCTTAGCAGAGAACAAAAACTTCAAGATTTTCTAGATTGCATAATTGATCTTCGTGAATATGACGTTCCTTACCATGTTCGCTTTGCTATTGACAACGGTAAGTTTTTTATGTTTATATCTATCTTCTTGTTTAAAGCACCTATTCAATTATCCCATTTTCCATTGTCACATTATATTTATCTTTATCATTTCACTCTTAAACACACGTGACCCAGATATACGGTGTGGCCTGTGGTATGATGTTGCCGTGTCCACTGATGGAGTTACACTTGAGAGAAGGACAGATCTTCTGCAGCGTGCTGAAGTTCGTGTTTGTGCATTTGATATCGAGACTACAAAACTTCCGTTGAAGTTTCCTGATGCTGACTATGATTCAGTTATGATGATTTCATATATGGTAGATAGGCAAGGGTATTTAATCATAAATAGAGAGGTAAGTATTAATGGAAGTTGTTAATGTTTTGAGTAATCTCTCTCTTGCTGTTACTATTCTATTATTACAATTTTCAAAGGAAACTGAAAATACACGTTTCATCAGAAGTCTCTTATCTTTAGTTTTACGATGGTCAATATCTTTTGATTGCTCTTTCTTTTCATAAGAATTTAATGTTATTTAGATCATCAACCTTCTAGTGGTTGTACGATTCCCAAACACACCTGCTTTGGGTGCACAGAGGTTGATCTCAATACAATGTTTTGATTTTCTTTAAAATTTGAGATGTACAAGTATAAATTGGTAATCCTCATCCATTTAAATTCCAAATTATGCATTAAGTGTAGCCTGAGAATCAGTGGAACAATAATAAATTATATAGCTCTATTTCATCAAAAGTACTTGTTAATTGATCCTGTAGTTGTATGTTGAGCACCTGTATTTTAAAAGCATTAGTCATTATCATAGGCTGATGACGATCTTAAATAATAGTGTTGTTTTCCAATTTTTTTCCAGTGTGTTGGGGATGATATAGAGGATTTAGAGTTCACTCCAAAACCAGAGTTTGAAGGGTGTTTTAAGGTGACAAATGTTCAAAATGAGGTAATGGTATAAGTGAATCCACAGATGATGGTTATATCATATTCTATTTGTCTGCTGAAAATCTGTCCCCCCAGTTGTTTTGTAACAACGGTATTTATTTTGTTCAGGTTTATTAATTTTTTTGGGTTTGTGGCTGATATTATTTGGCAGATTGAGCTTCTTAGAACATGGTTTTCTCATATGCAAGAGGTGAAACCTGGTATCTATGTGACATATAATGGTGATTTCTTTGACTGGCCATTCCTGGAACGACGGGCAGCCCATCACGGGTTGAAAATGAGTGATGTATGTTGCTAACCTTGTGTTTTTTTGGCAGTACTGGCTTCATTTATGTGGGTAAATAAGTGAAGTGCACGTGCATATTGAATTCTTTCTTTCTTTACATTTTCACTAGCATATCAACTTAAAGGACGACATCAATTCCCATTGTATTTGAGCTTGAATTGGGCTTTGTCGTGCAATAGTTGTTTATGTGTAGTAACTTTCTTTGCATATGTAATTTGGGATGAACCATGTATGTTTGAAATTTCATTTTTATATCCGCTCCTGAAGCATATTAGTTCCACTATTTCCCTTTTAGTTTTTAGTTATTAATTCACTATTTCTTTCTTTCATTTTCTGTCATTATTTGATCTTGCAGGAACTGGGGTTTCAATGTGACATGAATCAAGGGGAATGTCGTGCTAAATTTGCTCCTCATTTAGATTGCTTTGCATGGGTTAAACGTGACAGTTATCTTCCTCAGGGGAGCCAAGGCCTCAAGGTACCAAATTCACACTCTCAAGCTCTCAGTTGTTTGTTATAATTTATTTTATTAATTATTAGGGTCATTCTATTAATTGTATTTAACTGTTTCTCTATGACACTCATTTTTTCTTTCATTTCATCCAAAAGAAAACTAGTCCTTTGTTGACATTCATGTAAACTTTCTAATTGTTTGACATAGTTAGATATGGAAAATATTGCAACATTGTAAGTTCATAAATTTAAATTCTTTCATTTTATTTAAGTATCCAAGCACTTGGAAACCTTCTCTTAAAAGTTAGATATCTAGGGAGAAGAACCAAGCCACTTGAAATCTCCACTAAGCATCCCATACTACTCAATGTGGGACTTGAACACCCCATAATATAATATCCAAGTACCCGTCGTAGCGACACCCCCCAATAGCTGTTGTCTTGATTGCTGCACTTTACGATGCTTTCATGGATCTTTTCAGTCATCCCTTTCATAGGTAGCATTTTCCGAGCCGTCAACTGCTAGCCCTAATACCAACTGATAAGAATCCAAGCACTTGGACAGCCCTCCTTTAAAAGCTAGCTATCAAGGGGGAAGAATTAGACCACTTCAATACTCCACCGAGCACTCCATACTATTTGATGCTGAACATGAGCACCCTATAATACCCAAGTCCCTATCATATTACAGATTTACAGGGATTACAAATAGTACTTGCAAATTTTGGAGGGATTAAATTCAAAAGAATTTTTTTTTTCAGGTGCCACAACCAAGATTTGCTAATTTTACAAGGACTGATAACATATTTAACTCTATAATTAATAAGTCGAAACATTGATAAGAATCATAAGGAAGATTTTATTTAATTTGTCAAATTTGATAATTTTAATTCCATTCCTCATGCTTTGATAATCATGCATAATGCTAGCAGTAACCTTATTGTAATACCACTGATATATGAGATAGAATAAGTGAATAACTTTATTGCTCCCTTTGTTTCTCTACCCATGACTTATTAAAAGGAAGCACAGTGTCAGATATTCAGAGTATTGGAGAGCTTGCCTGCATTTATGATTTATTGAGCAAACATCTCTTCCCCTTTCATTGTATTTGACTTTGCTGAAGAGTTTACCTCCATCTTTTAATACACTTTACTTGGCTCAAGTCTGTTTGCCTTTCTTTCTATTCTCTACCTTAATAAGGTTATGCATACTACTCATCCAATATGCACAATGACATAATCATATCTGGATAACTAGTTACCTAAGCTACATATTCATTTATTTGCTAAGATTTTGAAATTATTTACAACATTTATATTTATTATGTTTGAGATAACTTGTTTTAAGTTAAATTAAATGGTCTCCTTGCATGTTATATGAAATAAAGTTAAGTCACATGCTCATTAATCTCTGTTTAACCAATTTTGTCCTTTCTCCATGTGATATTTTGATTATTTTCTATGTTTTATTTAGGCTGTAACAAAAGCCAAGTTGGGATATGATCCAGAGGAGGTGAACCCTGAGGACATGGTACGCTTTGCAAAGGAAAAGCCTCAGGTAGAGTGATCTAAGTGACGTCTCTTTTATTTGTTAAATTGGTTTGATGTGGGGGACTAGCAGTAGAGCATTGTAAACAATCTGTTTTTTTTTTTTTGAGTTTTGGTAAAATGTTGAATATAAATCGATGTTATTTGTCAATATATTTGAATGTTTTTTTTTAAAAATGTTTGCACGACCTTTATGATTATGCTTAAACAGCAAATGTTAGTATTGCTATTTTTTTTTTAATGTTGGAGGTGGAGAATGAACCCTCAATTTCCTTATCACTCAATTCCATAACTCTGCCACCCTCACAACCAAGCTGCCCTTATTTCCTCTTACACTAGTAGTTAATCTATATCTATACTATATATAAAGGAGAATGCATACCAACTTTTAGTGTACTTCTTTTCTTCCTATTTAACCCTTCATCTAAACTATTTTTCTACGCTCTATATAATAGGGATATAAACTCTTGGTGTACCTTTTTTTCTTCCAATTTTACCCTTCATCTAAACTATTTTATTTATAGTTTTTTGCAATTTTACTCAATCAAATAATTGGTTTATTTATATCTATATACTCCCTCCGTTTCAAAATGACTGTTGTTTAAGGTTTTTGCACACAAATTAAGGAATGCAATGATGTTGTTAAAATACATTACACTTTTACAAAATTAACCCTATTAATGTATTGGAAATAGTGTAGAGAGTAAAAAGTAAAGGGCACAATTGGAAAAATAGTAATCATTACTACAATGAAAAGTGAAAATGATAGTCATTTTGAAACAAAATTTATTTGCTAAAACGACATTCATTTTGAAACGGAGGGAGTATGAATTAATGGGATACCAACTTTTGGTATAACCCTTTTTTCTTGCAATTTTACCATTTATTTAAACTATTTTACTTAAAAATTGTCTTCTGCTAATCTCTGAGGTCTGTGGGTTCTGACATATATAGTGCTCAACTTTGGGGTTATGTTTTCTATCTTCATTCCTAATTAATGGAGGTGCTGTAGTTTAATGACTGTTTTTTCTTTTTTTAAAATTTAAAATGACAAGATCCACTTTAATGTCAAAAAAGAAAAGTAACACAGGAATACCATTTGTATTTATTTGTCTACCAAGATTTAAGGAACTGTTTACACCTTAAGTTTTTTATTGTTGGTAGTGAGCATTGTTTTTTCCTTAGGGTATGCTATACTATTGTTGGAGTTTTCAATCTATAAAGTTGTGCATTTGGTTGATCACAATTCTCATGAGGTATCTTGTTCATTTTACTTATTTTTTTTCCTTTGATTTGAATTGTTATTGCAGATGATGGCCTCCTATTCTGTTTCTGATGCAGTGTCAACGTATTACCTATATACAACTTATGTTCATCCCTTTATTTTCTCTCTTGCCACTATCATTCCCATGTCACCAGATGAGGTTTTGCGCAAAGGCAGCGGGACCCTCTGTGAAATGTTGCTTATGGTCCAGGTGTGCTCTTATTCATGTTTTTATTGAAGTTGAATCTCTCTCTCTCTCCATGTGTTTTGTTTTTCCCATTTCAAGGCCTCTAGTTTCTCTTTTATTTATTTCCACTTCTGTTACAGTCATACGAGGCTAATGTTATCTGTCCTAACAAGCACCAATCTGATCCGGAGAAGTTTTATAAGAATCATCTTCTTGAGAGTGAGACGTATATAGGTGGCCATGTTGAATGCCTAGAAAGTGGTGTATTTAGATCTGATATTCCATGTAATTTTACACTCGAGCCATCTGCCTTTGAGGTTTGTTGTTTCCATCTTTAATTACTTTACTAGTGACTATGCACTCCTTCTATTATAGAGCATACTGTTCATTTTTCATATATTTAGCTGTTACTTCTTCCAATTCTAGTTATTTTCTTGGCAAAATAGGAAAAAACCCTGTTTGTGCCGGAAGGGTGGAGCAGACACCAATTTCTACTCCACCCGCACCCTAATAAATAACTAAACTCTAAATTCATGCTTCTTTATTATATTTTCTTTAAGTATGTGTCACTAACTTTATGTTGTTCCAGCAATTGATCAACAATCTTGACCGAGATCTACAATATGCTATAAGAGTAGAGGGTAAGATGGATTTGGAATCTGTCTCAAATTATGATGAAGTGAAGGATGCTATCATGGAAAAGGTATTGATTATGAATTTTGGCTGGTTAATTTTTCATGTATGGTTACTTCACCTATTTTCTATGCTCGCAGCTTGTAAAATTACGAGATTCACCAATACGTGATGAATGCCCCCTCATTTATCATTTGGATGTAGCTGCGATGTATCCAAACATAATTTTAACAAACCGACTTCAGGTATTATGATATTTTTATTTATAATATTGGTCTTCAGCAGAATATTCATGCTTGGTATGTTTTTCCAATGAAAATTTGTTAAGAGTATATGTATTAGGGGTCACACTTTGTTGGGAGCTTCAAGTTCTGAACCTTCTCACTTGGTTGTGATTCTTTTGATTTTCTTCAGTTCCACTTTTTATTTTTATTTATTTTTTTATTTTTAAATTCTGCATCATCTTATTGGTTGCCCGCATGCACATTCCAGCTGCTTTGGCCATGAATCCATGGTGCCTCAGTTTGCTATAACTTCTTTAATGTCACAACCCTACCAGCAGCACCAATAGTCTCTTCCTCCCTCACAACGTCAGCGACAATTCTTTAAGTACTTCCTCAACAATTTAGTCAGCAGCATCAAGTCTTAACTCAACAATTTCAGCAACAATAGCAGTTTGTGTTTTAACAATTTGTGTGTTAACAATTACATCGGTTACTTGGTTTCAAGGACCCAGCAAACTCAATTACCTTCCTCAAGCTTTCTTAACCAATACTTAACTAAACCATCTCAGAAGTTGCAAAACTGGTATGTCGACTCAGGCTTCCCATCTTGTCACCTCTAGTTGACAACATATTGCAGAACCCGGCACACTTTCTCGTAGGAAATAGTCAAGGTTTGCACATGAAATCTATTATTTGACCTCTTTCTATCTCCATCATATTTGATTGGAAAGTCCCACATAGATTAAAGATAGAGTCTGGATAAGATTTATAAAGAGTAACACTATTAACCTTACAAACCAGTTTTGTAAGGTTAGGTTAGGTCCATCTCAAACTCTAATATATTTCAATGTGAAGTTCTTTCCAATAACTTGATATTGTTTCCTTCAATCACAAAATCTTGTGAGTATGAGTCTGTTTGCTAAGAATAGTTGCGTGTATTTTGAATTTCATTCACTGATTGTTTTTTTGTTAAATCATAGGATGATCATTGTTTCCTAGATTCATATTGGTCTCTTTCCATTTCCCGACCTTCTTATAAATAATGTGTTTTATTCATTTCCTATGTCACCTTTAAATTGTGTATATAGTGTCTTTCTCTTGATTATGAGAACACAAGCTTATGTCCCACACCACAAAAAGGTTTATCAAATGAGGACTGTCGAAAGCTTATAAGAACTACCTAGGACATATCTCTAGTCAATGCGGGACTCACAACACTATCACATTCCCGCATTGTTTTAAAAACCAGTCCGGTCTGATTGGCAAACCGGTTCAATCTGGAACCAGACCATTCAATGCTTCAGATCGAATGTGCATGTAACCAGTGATGATGTCATTAAATCGGTCACAAACCAGATCGAATAGGAAGAACTCGTCTAACCAACTGGAAAAAAACTCGGTAGGCTTGTTCACTGTCAGAAAAATCCAAACAAGGTTGCAAAAGATGCTCACCTACTGAAAGAAGACAGGGAAGATGAAGAAGTAAAGAAGAAAATTAAAGAAACACTATACCTTTTTATATACCTTTCACTCCCACAATTAACCAACTTCAGTTGGTTAATTGCTATAAAATAGAAGCCTAATAGAGAAGCACATCCGAGAAAGTTACTTCTCTTTTATCCTTCTATTCTTCCCAGCATATACCTCCACTATAGGTGGGTGTTTCCATATCAATTTATAAGCAAAAAGCACTCTTGTTACAAATTATAAGCAAAAAAACATCAACTTTATTTCATTTAACCATTTTATTCTAAAAAATTCATCTTTTCCAAGGTAAAATTAAATGCAAATTGCATTTAACTTGGTTTCTCACTCATTTTTTCAATAAACAACAACCAATCAAAATTGTTTTTACATCTTCCCATAAAATATATTTGAAAAAGACACAAATTTAAATTTTTTTAATAAGTGTGAAATATTAGTTTTTGTTTATAAATTGATATGGAGGGTTTATAAGATATCTGATAACTTCAACAGTTTTCATCAACTACAAGGGTGTCATAAGCATATCAAGTAAAATGTTAATGATTATCATGTTACCATTTCATAGCCAAAAGTTTAATGTGGATAAATATTTGATGTGAAATGTTAGGGTATAATTGTAAGATATGTATGTTTTCTGCTTGTTTCGTTTCACCACACTATGAGTTTTGAATTCCCAATGAATATAAATCTCCCATAACCTAAGGCCTAAGGGATTTTTTTCATGATTGCAGCCTCCGTCAATTGTTACGGACGAGATTTGCACTGCATGTGACTTTAACCGCCCCGGAAAGACTTGTCTGCGCAAGCTTGAATGGGTTTGGCGTGGAGAAACATTCACAGCAAAGAAAAGGTGTACTTTTTATGTTAATGTTGCAGTTGCTGCACTGCTGATTGTTTTGCTCAAATCTGTGAAAGTTAAAAAAATGACTGACAAGGGTATTTTTTAAATCTTTTCAGTGACTATTATCATCTGAAGAAGCAAATTGAGTCAGAGTTTGTCGATGGAGTAAATGAAAGGTCAACAAAATCGTTTCTTGACCTGCCCAAAGCTGAGCAACAATTAAGACTAAAAGAGCGTTTAAAAAAATACTGCCAAAAGGTTATGGTTGATTTATTGAACATTCTCTTTAAATAATCTTATGGCATACTAAACCACTAATGGCTTCCTCAGGCATATAAACGGGTACTTGACAAACCAGTTACAGAACTCCGTGAAGCTGGAATCTGCATGCGTGAAAATCCATTTTATGTTGACACTGTTCGCAGGTGAGTTAAGATCATTGAAGAGTAACTCTGAATAAAAACTGACCATTGGAATATCTAGTTCGAAGCAGATGTCCACAGAAGTTTATAATCCGCAAGGCATATTTAATATACTGCTCATAGTTTTAAATTGGATTGATTGACCCTTTTAAGAATCCCTTAAGTTTGTCTTGCACTATTTTTTGGTTGGTTGTAGTACTAAGGCCATGTTTTTTGCTATCTGGTTCAAGTTTCCGGGATAGGAGATATGAATATAAAGGCCTTAACAAGGTTTGGAAAGGAAAACTATCAGATGCCAAGGCCAGTGGAAATTCTATGAAGATCCAGGAAGCACAAGTATGAATTGTTATATTAACAGGCTTGTTGGTTCATTCACGATTTACTCAATTTGCTGTTAGCAATATGTTACAGTGTTGTAATTTCATATTTGTTTGTTTTATGCATCAGGACATGGTAGTGCTTTATGATTCATTGCAACTTGCTCACAAGTGTATTCTTAATTCCTTTTATGGATACGTAATGCGAAAGTGAGTACATTGACCTCCATATGTTTTTGAAGTTTCATCATTGGGATTCATTCAATAACATTTGCTATTTTTACTTCTTGATCATCTCGTGCATCAATGTTTTTGTTCCAGGGGTGCAAGATGGTACTCCATGGAAATGGCTGGTGTTGTCACATATACTGGTGCTAAAATAATTCAAAATGCCCGTTTGCTGGTAGAGAAAATAGGAAAACCACTTGAACTAGACACTGATGGTATCTGGTGTTGCCTTCCTGGATCGTTTCCAGAAAATTTCACTTTTAAAACAATGTAAGTTCTAAGTTACTAATTATGTTTCTGTTTATACATACCTATATTCAAAGTTGTTAATATCAGGTGTTAAATTTGTATGCTTAATGCAAATTTAATCAATCCAATTACTAAATTGAAAATCATCATTAAGCAGATCAGATTCACAAAGTTTCATACATTTTGTTGAATTTATGAGTTTTTGATAAAATACGACAACGACAACTAAGCCTTATCCCACTAGGTGGGGTCCGCTACATGGATCAACTTTTGCCATAATGTTCTATCAAATAAGGATAATAAATATGATTCAGGTGTAATATAGTATACTAAACTTAATAGTAATTGATGCTAAGTTGATACAAAAGACTCAACACTAGCACCTATTTATAGGCATACACGACTTCTAATTCTAAATAAATAGGGAAGTCCAGAAACAAATCATGATAATAACTACTACAACAACAACCGTGCCTTGTCCCACTAAGTAATTAAAATTAATCTTATGAGATAATCTAAGATACTCTAAGATTACAAACTGATCTTTCGAGATAAACTAAGATACTTCAACATAATATATTAATATCTAGATTCTAAGATGGTTGAAAAATTATTTGGTACTTCATCACTTTATTTTTACATATAATAAAGTAAATACTTGCTATTAAGTTATTTTTGTTGACAAATTTGCTATTCAGCAATATATCCATTAACTTCTAAATTTGCTATTCAGTTACATATGTATTAACTTCTAAGTTATTTGTTTTTTCTATACATGATGATCAAGATAATATAATGATTGGAAACTTTGTTCTGCAAAAAGGTAATTAACGGTGTGAAAGTTTGACACTCGGTGTCAATGAATCTTGACTTATATAATTAGCTTTTGTAGAAATTAAATTTAGCAATCCAATTATTAACTTATGTGATGTAAAATTTCAACATGCCAAATCTTCTAACAAAAGGACTTGTCACTGATTAATAAACCAGGAGGCTGTCTATTATATCATAAGCTTTGCTTAATTTTAGAATATAAAAAGAGTATTTAGGAAATTGTTGACTGCAAACTTAAGATCAATGATTTTGGTGGTTATTTGCTAAGTAGCATAATTGGTTATTCTAGTTGATTTCTCCAATATTACTTAATTAAAGGCATAGGCAATTGTGCTTCATCTTGCATTTCACTCTGCTTATCTTTCACAGAGTTTTTTCTCTTTCTAGTTTTCAACAATTTCAAATGCTACTGTTAGAAATCATGCTTACTCATTTTTGCTGCATTTTAGAGACTCAAAAAGGAAGCTGACAATCTCATACCCTTGTGTTATGCTTAATGTTGATGTGGCAATAAATAATACAAACGATCAGTACCAGGTGAGCTTGTAATTTTATTCATAGATGGTTCAATTCACAATATGACTCGAGTGCTTCCGCTTCTTTGTTTTACCCTGGGTAGTCTTCAGTTACCTTGCTTTAACAAGTGATTACGTAATTCTCTCTATTTCCAATTTCCTGACAGACGCTCACAGATCCAAATAGGAAAACTTATACAACTCATAGTGAATGCTCTATTGAATTTGAGGTCGATGGACCATACAAGGTAAAATGGAGCGGCAAATTGATATTAAAATTCTATCCTGTGTTTCACTATATTTGTATGACTTGTTTGGTTTGCTTTGGTGTAGGCAATGATCATACCTGCTTCCAAGGAGGAAGGAATTTTAATTAAGAAGCGATACGCTGTTTTTAATGACGATGGAACTCTTGCAGAGCTCAAAGGTTTTGAGATCAAGCGCAGAGGTGAACTGAAGCTAATCAAAGTTTTCCAGGTATTTTAATAAAGATAACTTCAAGTGCAATCCATACAACAAGATTTGATTATTGCCCTTTCACTATAAGGGTGATGGTAACTAGTTAAAGCAGAAGCATTCATATTTATTAACTACTTGCAGTATTTCTTTTCCAGCGTGGAAATGTATTGGTAGTTAAAATATACTAATTATAATTTTTAGAATTAGCAATTCCAAACTCGTTGCATAAACTACTTCTTTTCTTTTCATAGTTTGCATGATTTTTTATTTCTTTCTAAATTGTAGCATCAAAGTTGTAGTTCAACGTTCAGGGTCTTTTTAGTGGTTGCTATGTTCTTAATGCAAAGTTAGAGTGATCAGTTGAAATTGTTGTTTTTCAACAGGCTGAGCTTTTTGACAATTTTCTTCACGGCTCAACCTTAAAGGAATGCTATTCAGAAGTCGCTATAGTGGCAAATCGCTGGCTTGATCTTCTTGATGTATGCTAAAGTCAATGACTCAAAGTCTATTTTAATTGTAGTATTAGGCACTTTGATATATATGATTTTTGCATATTAATTAGTTAAATTCTTCCTGTTACACAGACCCAAGGAAAAGATATTGCAGATAGCGAGTTGCTTGATTATATATCAGAATCAAGTACCATGAGCAAGTCTTTAGCGGAATATGGTCAGCAGAAGTCTTGTGCTGTTACCACTGCTAAACGTCTTGCTGATTTTCTTGGTGATACAATGGTCAAAGATAAAGGTCTTCGATGTCAATACATAGTAGCAAGTGAACCTAAGGTGTGATCTATGAATATTTGAAAATTACATGAATCACATTTGTTTCATTCATCCAAATAATCTGCTTGTTTGTTGCTTAATGACTATCATCTAAAGACCATTTTCTTTGCAGGGAACACCTGTAAGTGAGCGTGCTGTTCCTGTGGCAATATTTCAAACTGATGCTGGTAACTTGCTTGTTTTTTAAGGAACAAATATCAATTTTTTATTGTTTAGATTTTAAATAAGAAAGTGCATGCAAACTTTTTGCAGAAGTAATGAAGTTCTATGTCCGAAAATGGTGCAAGGTCTCATCAGATGTTGGCATTCGCTCTATAATTGACTGGTCCTATTACAAGCAGCGGCTTAGTTCTGCAATTCAAAAGATTATCACTATTCCTGCTGCAATGCAAAAGGTTTGTTAATTTTCTCTCTCTGAGTTTCAAAATATTTGTTTTTGTCTGTTATAATGTTTTACAAACAAGAGTTTAATGCTTGCAGGTTGCAAATCCTGTCCCTAGGGTTGTTCATCCTGATTGGTTGCATAAGAAGGTCCGTGAGAAGGAGGACAAGTTTCGCCAAAGAAAAATAGACGATACCTTTAAGTCAATGATCAAGAACGAGAGCTCAAAAAAACATAATGATTCTAAAGGTGTCCACAACATTATGATTGATGAGAGTGTTAATGACTTGGAGGACTTTGGAAACAAGGGCAGGAGTTCTACAGGACCTAGACCAATTATACGGCATTACGAAGCTAACAATGAACAGCATTCAGAGAAGTTCAATGGTCCAGAAGATTTAGAGCAACAACCTATTGACAGGAGTAACATAGTTCATCCACTTTCACTACAAAATGAAATATCATGTGAAAATATCGACAGAACTGTAGATTATCAAGGATGGCTTCAAATGAAAAAGAGAAAGTGGAAAAATATGCTGGGAATGAGAAAGAAGCAAAGGTAATGTACTTTTTGCTACATAAATTTTAAAGTTTATGGATCTATATTTTGGAAGTTCTTTGGAATGGCTCTCAATCAATGGGCAAATCCCAAAAGATAATCACAGGATGTTTGTAAGAGAAATAAAATGATATTTTAAGTAAACGTCTTCTAGATGCTTTAACTTTTTCTCGATGAATCAAAAAATTGATAAGCAATAAGGGAAGCAGAGACAATAGCTCAAAGATGTCTTTTGGCCAAATTATTAAGTTTGTGTTACCATATATTGGGCACTTGCTCTGTTTCAGATTAAGTATAATCAAAGTCTCCTGTGTGCATCTTAAGAATTGAGTACTTACTATTTCCCTATTTTGGAGAAATCAAAATGGGATGATCATGTATGGCTACACAATTTTCTTTCAAGGTGGCACAAGCAAAAGGGCAAAGGGACAAAACTTTGTTACTGACTTTACAAGTGATCTGCCTGCCATTCTTTGCCCTATTCATTGAACATTTTTTACTGGATGATAATCTTAAAGTCATGATAGATATCTCAGTGCTCATCAATGTGATTTACATATACACATGCTACCTAATATATTATTGATTGGTATTAAAGATGATCTTTGATTTTCAAAGGTTGGAGAATTCGAAGAGATCTGACCATTTAAATGGCAGTCTTGAACAAACCAGTGGTAAGTCGAATCACGGCAAAAGTAATGTCAGTTCATATTTTAGAAGGCATGAGGTAGCCTTAACAAGGTGCCACTGGCAGGTAATTTTAATTATTAATTTTGCAAGTCATTTTACATCGTTACTTAAGATTTTGAAATTTCCCTATTCTAATATTTGTGTGATTCAGATAATACAACTGGTCTACAGTACACAAGCTGGCCAATTTTTTGCTTGGGTTGTTGTTGACGGAATTATGCTCAAGATTCCTATGTCTGTTCCTAGAGTCTTTTACCTTAACTCTAGATCACCAACCGAAGAATTTTCCGGCAAACGTGTCAACAAGACTCTTCCTCATGGAAGACATAGCTATAACCTGTTTGAGGTACTGGTGGTATTATTGCTCCCCCGCCTCCCCCTTATAAAAAGATTTTCTGATGATTTATTTATTATGTTTTCTCAGGTGAAGGTATTAATAGTGATTTGAAAATCTTGCAGGTCACAATTAATGAAATACAATATAAAGAAGAAAGCAAAAAACTTGCTGCTCTTCTAGCAGATCCTGATGTTGAGGTCTGCACACTTACTGATCATCAATATATCTTTGTCTGTGTATGTGTGTATACTTCTTTTCTATGTGGACAATTTGTTGCATCACTTATAATTTTGTGATATGATATGCCAGCATTCTCACTCTAACTAATAGTTAGAGATCATCACATAATAAGGATGTCTTAATGTTTTTGAGGGATGAGGGTTACAAGTAGTTGGTAGATATGGCAAAGTGTATGAAAGGACACATAAGGAGAGAGGGAGGAAGGAATCATACATAAAACAAATTCTATTATGAGCTGCACATGGCAGGCCACATGGCAGCAGCAGAGTGGTGAGAGAATCTAGATCCGAGTGAATAAATGACGAGGGAAGGTTCTATTGTCAGTAGGCATCTTGAAGTGCCTCTTTTTCAGATTTACATTTTCTCTTTCATGCAATCCTTGTATTTACTAGATCCCATTCAAACTCTAGTACCTAATAATATTCATTTCTTTCACCTGATTCCTCTGTTTATCTGTTTCTTTTCTAGTATATACTAAATTGATCTTATCAGTAGCCTCTTCTAGAGGCCATTATTTTGACATCAGATAAATGATTCTGTTGAATGAGAGCACAATAGAAAGGAATACGGTGAAACTGAATTTGAACTATAAAGCCGAGTCAATTTTATATATACTCTAAGCAATACTTACAAAAAAATAAATATACCTATACAATAAATACAAAGTTCAGAATATGTTTTCAACAAATTCCTCTAGACGGTTTATTTTTTGAATATGTCAAGGAGGTTAATATGCCCTCTTCACTCTAAACTTTTCTGGGTTCAAAGTCTCTTCCATTTTGATACAGGTTTAACTTTTTTTGATCAGCGATTGAACAGATTTTTTCATTGTAAAACTTGTTCATAATTGACTGGTAAAATCTGCAATATAAAATATGAGCCAAACAATTTCAGTATCAATTTTTTGAGCCTATTGAAGATTGATATTACTGTGTTAATGTGCAAAGGGATACTTTTGAGGTTTGTAAACGATATATTATGTAATTGGGTCACATGTTTGTTCTTTCTAGTCGACTTAACAAGCATTCCTGAGTTGTCTTCCCAACCTTTGTTTATTATCTGCGCAGAGATGTATTATTTCCTTGTTACAAGCTAAAGCTTTATAAGCTTTAGCTTGAGGGGAAGAGTTAGAATATAAGATAGTATATCCTAATATCCAAGAATATTTTTATTTTAGTTAATTTCGATCAATTTCTAATCTTACATATATTCATTATATTATCTCCTAGGATTAGTATTTCTTAGTTATTATCATGATTTGTTTCCTTATTTTGCTATTTATTTAAGATTAGGAGTCTTATATACCTATTAATAGGGGTTGCTGGTGTTTAGTTTTTTATATCAAGTTTGTATCAAATCATTATAACAGTTTTTTATTTTTAAACTTAAATAAATTACATGATACTATTATACACAACTACCTATTTACATCAGTTGTAACAAAATGCATGCTTCACATATTATTATTTATATGCCTGCTCTCATTTAGATTACTTTGGTACCTCAGCTATATTGCCAGTTTTACTTCCATTTTGTCAAATATATATGATTGGTGATTTAAATTGGAGGATGCAATTTTTATGCCAGGGAATATATGAAACCAAGGTGCCACTAGAGTTCAACGCTATAGTCCAACTTGGTTGTGTTTGTAAGGTGGATAAAACTGCTAAAAAACGTAGCATACAAGAGCCATGGAGTTTGAGTGAATTGCACATGAAGACCACAACTGAATGTGCTTATCTTGAACAATCAATACCTTTTTTTTACTTATACCACAGGTAAGTAAACCCTAATGTCTACAGTGTTATTCTCAATTATTTATGTCTAATTTTTTTGGTTAAAATTAGAGCCTCATTTGCTTTGAAGGTAGGTTTCATGTCTTTCTTGTGCTGCTTTAAAGGCAATTATTTTATATTCATCATTCTTTTATTAATTTCAGCATCTCAGAGGGACGGGCTATATATGTTGGATATTTTCCTGGGTCACATGCAATAACTTTTGTGGTAGTTAATCCCTACCAAAACAAGGACATATCACCAATTTTTCTCGAAAGACAATTCCGCGATGCTTGCAGAGCTTTGTCTATTGAGCCAGCTTTGGGGAATGGCATTACTTTTAATGTAACTGCCACATTTCTCTTATCATAATTTTCTTTCACTGTAATGGGTCCTAGTATCTAGTCTTTAGATATTATTAAAAAAAAAGAAAGTATTCACTTGTCTATTTATTTACCTATTTTCATGTTCATGTGTATAATTTCATCCTACATTCAGGTGGAATATGTTGCACTTGTCAAGGATGCTGAAGCAGTATTGCAAAGCGCAATAAATGATCACAGGTTTTATTTTAATTTTATGTTAGTTTGCTATAATTCTATTTTTTTATATCTTAGTTTGCTATAATTCTCTGTGAAGCAAGAAATGTTTTTGATCCTGATATTCAAGAAAGTAGCACAACTTAGGTTTTCTTTAAAACATATGCGACCACTCTGGTCCATTTTATGTAGATGCTTTTAGCTGCTTAGTGCAAATAAGGTTAATCATATGCACTCTAATTATTATTTTGCGGAGTTTATTATAATCTTTACATGAGAAAGAAAGTTTATTACCATAAGAAGGCAACGTCGATGCACAAAGTTTAGGTCTCAGCCATTCTCCATTTTTCTGAGACTGTTAATGTTTGACAAATCTTCTTTCATGCCTTACCACAAGTCAAATATATCATTGCAATATACCAAATTTATTACCAGCTTTCCCTTGTCTGTTTGGATTTTAGGAATCTTGTCATTTTAATATCATATAAGTAGCAGCTGAATTCCGTCCTTAATATACTGTGTAGTATTTTTCTAATTCTAATGGGAAAATTGCATTCACTTCCTCTGTATTATGCTTAATGACACTCATCTCATATAATTTGATGGAGATATTACACTCCCCTCTCCTCTTTAATGGGGAGGTGAGTGTACTTGACAGAGGAACAGATTTTTTTTATATAAAATAAAAGGAAATGCACATGTCATTTAGACTGTCTCAGTATTGGTAGAGTGCAATTTCCTCAATTCTAATAAATGTATTCAGTTAGATGGTAAAAAATGCTGCAAGCTGATTACCAAGTAGAGGTCATTCCTCATTATAGCATCTGTTTATTGGTTGTTCAAGACAGCCTGTGTATACTTTACAAATAAAATCTTTCCGCAAGAACATGAATTCAATGTCTAAAAGTACTTTAATTAAAAGTCAAACCCTTAATGTTGTTTGTGAATTTAAATGAAAGGGCGATTCATATTTCTGTTTTGAACTTGACTTTGACCATTAAAAATACTTAAATTAAAAGTCAAACCTTTAATGTTGTTTTTGAATTTAAATGAAAGAACGATTCTGAACTTATTTAGATAACCTAGTTGTATTTTTTGTTTTGAACTTGAATTTGACCATTAAATTCCATATTTGATACCATCTAGTACCAGCGAAGTTCATCATATCTACATGTTATGTTATAAATATAAAAATCAATGTTCTATTTTCATCCTTTGCACTGAATTATTTTGTCCTTCTCTGTTTATCATGGTCATAGGAGTGAACATCACGGGCCTATGGTTGCTGTCATTGAATGCCCTGATGTTCAAATATTAAAACAGGGCATTCGAGCTCTAGATGATTTTCCATGCCTGAGTATTCCTTCTAATGCACGTGATAGTCAGTATCAGGTAAACTATTCTGAAACTGCTGGTCCATATCAAGCTTGTTTGTATGTCAATATCTTTTAATACTTTATAATACAAATTTTTGCTTTTTAGATTCTTGGATGGCAACAAGTTGCTGCGAAACTTGGAATGCAACGATGTGCAGCATCGGTCCAGTGGCTCAATGAGAGAATTGCTTTATCAAGATATGCCCATGTAAGCACTCCAACTCTTTAGCAGCATATACTTGGGAAAACTACAAAAAATAAGGATAAATTATTAAAAGATTTAAATTTATGAACACTTCACTGAATAAAGTAAGTTAGTTACACCAAAGTGGTTATTTTAATGCCAAAATTTCAGTTTGTATGCATATGACATGTATGCCCTAGTTTGATATATCCTCTAGTTTGAAAAAGATTGTTGGTTGTATTTTAGTCTTTTTGTGATACGATTTAGTTTCATTAGATAAACAAATTTTTAGCTGTAGTCTTTCTATCTTCTGAATTTTGGATTCCATTTCATGTTCAGCTTATGTATATATGTTTGTATACAATAATCAAATACTCAAGTATTAGATTTTCATCAGCTTCTGCTATATGTATTTGAATTTCTTTTGCAGGTACCTCTGGGGAACTTTGCATTTGACTGGCTTATGTTTACAGTGGATACCTTCTTTTCTAGAGCACTGCGTGATAATCAACAGGTTCTTATTTTAATATGATTTTGTGATCTTGAATCTGAATATTATCAACTGAAACTTACCGCCTTCTCTTCGTTTTTAATGTTTTACATCCTTATGCGAACCATATGATTTGTCTTACGCCAGTATGGGTGTATCTTTTACTATAGTATATCATCAAACCCAAACATAAAAAATTCATTACAACCCCATTTTTTTTGGACATAGTCTTAATGAGATGTTCATAATCTAGGTACTTTGGATATCTGATGATGGTTATCCAGATTTGGGAGGCAACAATGGTGAAGAGAACTGTTTTTTAGACGAGGTCTGTTTTATGACCCAACTTTTTGCTGGCCTTTAATGTTTTCATGCAGAGCTTGATTGTTCTGCCTTGTTAAGCAATTGTTATTGTTGTTGTTGTTGTTGTTGTTTTTATTATTATTATTATTATTATTATTATTATTATTATTATTATTATTATTATTATTATTGTTATTATTATTCTGGAAGAAAATGACTTCTAGATACCTAACAGCTGCTGTACTTTTTTTACACATAACTCTCTTTTGAATAATGATACTAAGAACATCTCCAATGGTGTAACCCACTCTGTGTTCTTATCTCACCATTAAGTGGGTTCCACTATGCCATGTAGCTTTTAAGAATTTTACTCATTTTTATTCCAAAGTATAAGCAATTGCTGTGGCTTAAGAACTCAATGAGTAACTCGTTGGATTTGCTTTAATTGAATAACCACTCTAGATTTCTATTTATACTTTTATTTTTTATGATGCGGAAACTGCTTTTTATAACATGACTACAGTTAAATTATTCTTATTTTATTAAAAAGCTACTGGTCCATGAGGAGACAATCACTAGTTCTAGTTACAATTTGATAATAAGGTAATTATCCACTCTGTGACACAGTGATCATAGTGGTTATTCAAAAGGTATGCAGATTCATAGTATATGTAGTTAAACTTTGCTACAAAATCAACTGAGACTAATTTCCCCTTATTTTTAGTTTGTATGTGATGATTTAGCGTGCCCGTGCCCATTACTCTGAAATTGATTGCCATGCTATTTGAAAATAGGTGCAACAACCCGTTTGTACGTTTCCTGGAGCTTATAGAAAAGTTACCATAGAGCTAAAGGTTCGATAGTTTGAAATTTCTTTCACCAATTTAATCATACTTCTAAAACTCAAAGGAGAGTTATTTATTTATTATTTATTTGTTTGCAGATACACCACTTGGCTGTAGACGCCCTTTTAAAATGCAACCAAGTTAATGATATGGAAGGAGGTGCTTTGTTAGGATTTGATCATGAATTTGATTCTGAAGCATTTCCCATGAATGGCTTTGATGAGTCTACTTCATGCGCACATGCCTTTCGAGTCCTAAAACATTTGATCCAGAGGTGCCTTGCAGATGCAGTCACATCTGGAAATGTTTATGCTGATGCAATATTGCAACATCTGTATAGATGGATTTGCAGGTTTTTACCAACCTCAATTGTTTACCACCATCTTCTATTCTATTTGTATATTTACTGCATTTCTTCCACATCACAGCCCTCAATCAAAGCTTCATGATCCTGCTCTTCACCAGCTACTCCACAAGGTAAACAATTATTCGTTGAAACATATGGTATGATGCTCTGAGATGGTAGAGCGTTTTCTTACCTCTTCCTGATGACCTGGATTAATTAACTTTAATGGGATTTATATTTTTTGTTAAGCATCCTTATTAATTGTACTGCATGTCTTTTGATGGCATTGATATTTATAGGTCATGCAAAAGGTCTTTGCATTGTTGTTGGCAGAGTTCCGCAAGTTGGGCGCAACCATTGTATTTGCGAACTTCTCCAAGATTATTATTGACACGGGAAAATATGATTTGTCTACAGCCAAAGCATACTGTGATAGTTTGTTAAAAACTATACAATCTAGGTCAGTCTTGCAAAAGCCATAAAAAAGTTCTAAATTATTTCTCTTATTCTTTAATTTTTTGTAATTTTTGGGCAAATTTAACCCAAGGATAACAGAAGTTGGAAATTTTGTCAACAACTTCATTTAGCCATGGAAAATATACATTTTTTAATTGAATAACATAAATTGTGGTGAAAAAATCGCAAGCCTTGTTCTTTTTTATTTTAGCCAAATTCATATTTTTTACTTTAAAAGTGATTCATCTTGCTCTATTAACTCTTTGTATTGCATATTTTGTAGAGACCTATTCGAGTGGATTGAGCTTGAGCCACAGCAGTTCTGGTGCTCATTACTATTCATGGACCAGGTTTGGTTTTGATTTGTTTTTCCCTCTATTGGTTTTTGGTTGCAAGATAATATTTAGGTTCTTCACATTATTTCTAAAGATTATGTGAATGGCCTTTGGAGTTATTTGTCATCAACAAATAATTATAAATGAGAACAGATTTGTCAGGAAAATTTTATAATTATAATTCTGGGTGATTAGGGATCGAATATTAAAAATAGAGTTGAACTAGTAAATTCAATAATTTGAGGTGAATACTGAATAGATAATTTTTCTTATAATATAAGATTTTAGAAATATATTCACCTCAAGGACAAGGGTTAATATGCCAAAATGTGTCACTGAGTTTCTTGACCGATCTTTCATCAAGAGAAAGGAAAGTTTCTTCTGTGAGATTAATATAAAATTTGATGGTAGGTTTTATACTATGGCTTCTGCTAATAGTTGTTATATTTCAAAAAATTTTAAGGTAGAGTATAAAATATTTTATATTGCTCTCTGAAAATATTTTATATCATGTTAAGCATGTGATGACTATATTATTAAATGCTCTATGTTGGTGACCAAATTGATGAATGCATCTAATTCGTTGTGAACATCAATATTTTACCGTAAACTCCTAATAACATTTAATGTAGTTTCTTCAGGCTATTTGAAATGGATTAAGTTATGCAATCTTGTGATCATTTGAGTTTTCCATCATTTACATCAAACTGACATGCAATAATATATTTCTTAAACTATTGTGTTTTTTCTCTTGTAGTATAACTACGGTGGAATACCAGCAAAATCCGACGAAGCTATGAATGATGAATCTCAAGTTGACATAATATCCAGTTGGAATATTGCTGAATACTTGCCAAAAAAAATCCAAGTAAGTTACCTAGTATGAATTTTAACTTGAATAAAGAACTAAATGCAGTGGGATCATTGGGAAAATCCACCCAACGGATTTAAAAGGTTATTCATTCAACTAGCACTATTTTGCTTCATTTCTGCGTATTTTTATTTATTTTTTGGTTTTCTACAGGACCATTATGTGTTCATAGTTTCTCAATTCATGTATATTCCTTGGAACTATACACGAAAACAATCAGCGATCAGGGCTTCCGCGCAGAATGGAGACTCCTGTACCCCGTCAATTAATATTGGAGCTGCAGAGGTTTTCGAATCAGAAATAACTGGATATATTAAAGAGCAGGTATAATAATGATAGCATAAGGAATTGAAGTGACATGGTTTTTATTTGAATTATTATTGAATTCTTACGTTTTGAATTCTACTCAACAGATAAGCTCTTATTTCACTGACAAACTCCTTGGAGTTGTTCGTGATATTGTTCTTCATATGAAGGGGGCGGGTAGATCAGAAGCCGACCAGAGTACATCAGCTGGCCTTCCACAGCTTATGGGTGATCAACCTAGGGGGGATGCAGCCTTGGAGTTTATCAAGCATGTCTGTGCGGTCCTTGCCCTCGACCAAAGTGTGCAGCATGATGTTTATGTAAGACTTGTTTTCCCATTGTGATGACATTGTTTAACAATTACTATTTGATGTAGAACATGTAATCCAAGAGTACTCTTGCAGGACTCATATAAAGAATTCTTTAGGTGTGGAATACACCTTTAGCTCAAACTTAGATATTTTCTTAGGACATTTAAATGTCATATTGTCTTCAAAAGTGTCTAAAAGTGTACACTGAAGGCCTAATTACAGACCGTAGTAAAGGCAAAAATATAATTTCTATTCCTATTCTATGCTAGAATAAGATAATCCAAAATTTGAATAAAATCCTAAATATTAAATAAAATTTTTCCCGAATTGAAAACTCTATTTACTGATAACACCCTAATAAAATTATGAAGTAGATATGTTCACCATTATTGTTGATGTATGATTATATATATACTTATAGCTCTTCTGCATACGGTCTTATGTTGGGATATTTGTATGTCTAGAAATTTTTAACATATTTGTTTGTAATATGCATGTACTTTTATTGCATAGATTCATCTTAACTGAAATCTGTATCAAAGAGATTATTCTATTTGAGTTATTGATAGTTGTTTGTTTCTTGTTTTGGAATTTGACACGGTTTCATAACCAAGAATGTAAATTTTCATATTTTTAGAATTTTGCATGTTCTAGGTGAATTTTCAACACGCTACCTGTTTCCTAATGACACCTTTTTTGGGGTTACTTAGAACTTAAGACCGACAACTATAACATATTGGCTAGATGCGTTATTAATGATACAACCCTGATTGGAAAAGTAACTGAGATATTTGGCTTTACAATGCCTCATGTTTATATTTCACTTTTGTTTCATTGTTGTGGTAGATAATACAGTACTTCGGTATTACAAAGAAATACTGCACACTGTTGATTTCATACTTAACTTTTATCACATAGAAGAGATTTCACCCCAAATAATGTTTTTTAAAAGATTAAGACATGTTGATTGGAATATTAACAAGAAAGCGGAATTTGAGCTTTTTTGGTTCCTAACCCCTAGCTCAACAAAGTAATAAGTAGGACTGATGTAGCTAGCTGTGCATTGCCTTAATAGTTTAAGTGAAAGGCTTATATTTTCACGGGCTGTTTATCTTCTATATGGTGAACCAAGTGATAGTTCTGATTGTGTCTTTCACTTGGCAGGTCATGAGGAAAAATTTGTTAAAATTTGTCCGCGTCAGAGAGTTTGCTCCAGAAGCAGAGTTTCATGATCCTTGTCAATCCTTCATATTACCCAATGTCATCTGCAGGTAAAAATTTATTGGTTTTGATTATCAAATGAATAATTAAGAATACAGCAGCTTTGTTTAAAATTTTAAGAACATCAATATCATCAGCAGTTTATGCATGTTTTTCATTCATATTAAATACAAAAAGTTTCTTGGTCGAGTTTGACTAAAAATACCTCTATCTTTTCATAGGTTCTAATGAACGGTCTTATCAATTGATTACTAAACTAATATATTTCTTTAACTGGAAATCATTATCTGTTTCTTATTAGTTTATCAATTGATTGCGAAACTAATATCAACCCTGGATGTTTTGAACTATTTGGGGCCTAGATTTGTAAATTGTGTGAATTTGTTTGCATAAGAAAAGGTTACAAGTTAAATACTTGATTTGGAAATACTAAAGGTAAAGGCATTTTCCAATTGCATCCTCACAACTCATTGCAATTATTTACTGTCTCATTTGGCATTGTATCTGTGTTGGAATTTATAATTTTGTTTAGTAATGGCTGTTTATTAACTTTGATAATTTTATTGTTAGACATTACTTTTGTGCCTTTGTATATGTTCGACACAATAAAGTAATTCATGGTTCATAAAATAACCCTTCCATAATCAAATGTGCTGTTTTTTGTTTCCGTATCAGCTATTGTAATGACTGTAGAGATTTGGACTTGTGCCGTGATCCGTCTTTATTGACCGAAGAGTGGCATTGTGCTGTACCTCAGTGTGGCCAGCCTTATGACCGTGAGGAGATGGAGAAGGCTCTTCTTCTGATTGCACGACAAAGGGAGCGGCAATACCACGAGCAAGATCTGGTGTGTGTCAGGTGCAACGAGGTGAAAGCTGCACATTTGGCTGAGCAATGTACATGTGCAGGCTCATATAAATGCAAAGAAGATGCGGCGGAATTTCGTAAAAAGATGCGAGTTATCTACAGCATAGCTTCTCGTCAGAAATTTCAACTTCTTGAAGAATGTACTGCCTGGTTGTTAGAACTTAAAATTTAAGGAAACATTCAAGATTGAGACTAAACACATGCAGAGTAATACTCAGCCAGGGGATCCCTGCAACTTGCTCATAGTCGACCACAATGAGTGTGCTGGCCAGGTTTGGAAAAAAGCAATGAAACCTGTTGTCAAGAATACCACATTATTCAATCATTTATGCTGTGCTCGATTATTGCAAGCAATTCTTTTATTCTATATGTATATATGAAATATTATTTTGACCTAGTGAGTTAGTTAGGTTTACGTCCCTCACGTTTTGTATATTTTCTCATTTCATTAATATATTTTTGCAGTGTTTATTTCTGATATTTACTGATATAAACAGAATTACAGTACAATTACACTCAAATTACACATAATAACACTAGGATAGTTATTCTCTAAGGTTCTAGAGCCATTCCTTTCCCAAGTGATAGAGTTGGGTCTCTCTCACTAATCACTCAATAAAGATCTTTTTGTTGGACTGCATGTTCATCAATACTACAATCTATTTTCTTTAATCAAGATAAATGACACCATTTGTCAATGAAGTTTGAGCTATGAAATTTGATCACTTGTTAAACACATTCAAGGCATGGAGACAAGGAATAGCATTTTTCCAATTTATGGCATTGTTTTGTTCATGTTTGAAAATTGTTTGATTTTGGATTCTCAGATATTGTTAAATAAGCTTAATGATTTTAGTATTGAAACAAAAAAGATGATTAAGGTTTTGATATGTAACCATGAATTTGTCAATAAATTATGGAATAAGATAAAAGTCTCCACCATACTCGTGTTTCTTGTCCTACTATCCATGCTATCAATGGCAGCAAAATTTGTTGGGAATTGCATAGAGAATTCTAAAACAATTTTGATGAATAAAATTTAACCAATCTGATCGAACTTTTTTGTTCTTCACTCTCCATTTGAGTAATTCAACTAACTTTGGTTGCAAGATAATTTTGCGGAGCAATTAACAATGGAAGAAGAGAGAAAAGATAATTGAGGAAAAATAAGAAGTTAGGATTTGACAAAAGAATAAGAAAGTATTTTATGCAGAGTTTTTCTCTACTTACAAATTTGTGACTTTATTAAGCAATTGCAAGTGATTACAAAATAGGGGTTACTCTCTATTTATAGTTGAACTTGCTTGCTCCCTAAGTCAAAATCCAAAATACAAAAACCTAAAATACTTTATTTGTTAACACTATAAAATAGTCCTAAGACGAAATCCATGCCGAGGCAACCTGCTTCGACACTTTGAGAATACTAGGTGTTTCAACATCAACATGCTTCAACATCATGAATTACATTCTCAACACACCACCCAATTCATTGTGTCTAAACTATCTTCATTGATCATAGATTTTAATTTCTTTAACACTTCGATCTGCACTCCTTATGGTTGTGTTACATAAACTTCTTTGTCTAAAGGGCCATTCACGAATTCATATTTCACATCCATCTGACATGTGTGCCAATTGTTCATGTTTGCTAGACCAATAACCAGCCTGATTGTTTCGATCCTAACAACATGTGTAAAAACTTCATCGAAGTCGATTCCTTATTTCTGAAGAAATTCTTTCGCCACAAGTCTAGCCTTGTGTCGAGTTACTTTTCCTATGGAATTCAATTTCACCTTTTATACCCACTTCACATTGACTGCCTTCTTGCCTTGAAGCAATTCGACAATTGACCAAGTGTTGTTGATTTTGATGGACTTTCCTCATTCACTGCTTTAATCCACTTCGAATCCTTTAATGCCTTAACTGCATTGACTGGTTTGACATATGCATAGAAAGTACAATGTGCCAACTCACCTTCATCATCGATCATATCATCTGATGTAATCACACATTCCTACAACCTTGCAGGAATGCATCTTGTTCTTTAAGACATGCATGGGTCTGCTCACCTCTGACTTCTTCTTGTCAAAATTCTTCTCTTTCGACTTCAGTGGTTGGTTCTTCACATAAGTTTCTCACTGAATCTTTCTTGACATTTTCAGTCCAATCCCATTCCTTAAGCTCATCAATGATCACATCCATGTTGATCACTACTTTCTTGTTCACTGGGTCGAACAACTTGTATCTTCTAGTCGAATAATATCCTATTAGGATCACCTGACTAGACTTGTCATCAAGTTTTCTTCTTAATTGATATGGTACATGCTTGTGTGCTATAGATCCAAATACCTTCAGATGTCTCAAGCTAGGATTCACACCAAACCAACATTCTTCTGACGTAATTCCTTATAGCTTCTTCGTTGGACATCTGTTCAAAATGTATGTTACAGTTGATACAACTTCACCCCAAAATTCTTTAGGTAAATGTTTGCCTTTCAACATACTTCTAACCATATTCATGATGGTTCGATTATTCCTTTCAGCAGTTCCATTTTGTTGTGGAATATAGGGAGACACCTCCTCATGCATAATTCCTTCTTTCTCACATAACACGTCGAAGTCTTTCGAAACATATTATCCACCACCATCAGTCCTCATAATCTTGAGTTTTTGACCACTTGTTTTTCGACCACAAACTTAAACTTGGCAAATACCTCATTCACTTCACTTTTCTTCTTGATCAGGTAAGTCCATGATTTTCGACAAAAATCTTCTATGAATATGACAAAGTATTTGTTACCTTCAGTTGAATCCATCTGGATTGATCCACATACATCAGAGTATATGATTTCAAGAATTTCCTTTGACTTGCTTCCTGCATCCTTGCTGATGTTGTTCTTGTGCTACTTCACCTGCACACATTCCTCACACACTTCATTTGGAATGTTGGTTTCTGGTAACCCTGAAATCATATTTTTTCTTTTCAAATCTCTGATGTCTTTTGTTACACCCCGATTTTTATTTATTAGTTATTTTACTAGTTATTTATTTTAATTAATTATTATATAATATAGTAATTAATTAATTATGAGATTTGATGAATATATGAGTATTGAGTTATCGAGTGTGAGAATAGCAAAACAATTAATTGGGCCTTATGTGTTACATTAATGTGAGTGGGTGAGATAAGCCCATTAGAGAAAAATAATAGTTAGTAAGTGTTTTGTAAAACAAAGAGAGAATAGAGTTAGAAACAGAAAGTTGTCAAAACAAGAAAAGAGGAAAAGAGGAGAAAAGGGAGAAAAGAGAATAGGAGAAGGAAGAATCTTAGAAAGGATATACATCCAAGGTAAGTGTGGGTTTTTATTTGATTATCAGAGTATGTGATGTATGTAATTGGCAGTAAACATAATTTATGGATTTAGAGTTCAATTTCTAAGTTTTTGAAATGCTTAGGTTTTGAATGAGAAATTGTGAAATTGTTGTTTGAATCAGGTTTTGATGTTTGTAATTGAACCTTCATGTTATATATATGTTATAATGCAATTAATTAAATGAATATGGCTGTTTGGAGTGGATATTGTAACCCCAACCCGTGGAAGGCAGAAGCCATTCCCGCATGGATTTTTTCTGGTTTCAGCAGAGGCCGGTTAGCGCCATGGAGGCCGCTTAGCGCGCCCTGGGACAAAAAGTTTTATATTTTATTTAATTGATTGGGGATATTGTATGCTTATTATTTATCATGGATTATCATGAATTTTAAAAATTTACTAAATGTGTATTGAATAGGTTTTGGATGACTTTTTGATGAAAATATAACACTTCAATTTTGTGTATATGTATTTTGTGAATGGATGTTGGATGTGGATAACATTGTTAGGTATTATTTGCTATGTTTTATTGTGTTGTGTTAAGTTGATTAATGCTATGATAATGCATTGTATGTGAATGATGACATGAAATATGTATGTTTGTGCAATGATGAGATAATTCAAATGTGGTGAGTTATGTGATATATGCTTGTATAATTAAGATTGAGAGATGGTCTTAATTGAATATGACTTTTGAGATTTCACATGCATCATTTGTTGTCAAGAGTAAATTTTTGCTAGTTTCGTGGAGGCTAGTGACTTGTCCCAAACCTAGAGGACTAGTTTGAAGCTTAGAGGGCAGGCTTTTTAGTGGTTATCAGTCTGAGAGATGGATGCGGTTTAAACGTAAAAACCATAAAGGATAACAATAGGTACCACATGCATATTTTATTGATTTGCATTCAAGTCACGTATGTCGAAATGAAATCTGAATTGGTGTGCAATATGTGATGCTGATGTGAATGTTACATTTTTGGTATTTGTGATTGATTATCTTTGAATCCATGAATTCTTGAACAATGTTGTATATGTAAACACGTAAATTGGATTGGATAATATTGAATATATGAATATTTGAAGTGAGATAAATTCAATTGATGTATGTATGTTATGCATTACTTATTATTATATATTTCTATAATGATGTGAATTCTCACTCTTCTGTTGAAATGATGTTTTATATGACATCGCTCAGGTACCGAAGATAATGGTGCTTCTTGTAAGGATTAGCCGGAGGAGCTAGTTCTTTGTTTATCCATATTTAGGTAGTGAGTCATGTTCTGGTTATGTAACACAGAGAAACGTTTGAACTCATGTTGTTTTAAGAGATGTTTGATATACTATCTTTTATTTTATATTGTATTTGAGATTATGTGATGAGTGACCTTTAGTGCTTAATGTTTTAATACATTATTTCTATTATGAGATTAAATTATTGGTATCATTTTAAAAAGAGAATTATTTCGCTATGATATGCATATGTGTTAGTATATGGAACATGATTTTAAATGCGTGTTATGAGCAATACCGATGTATTTGTGTTGGTTTTGAAATACATGTGATACCCTCTTTTAATATGCATGTTAGTTTACTATGATTATACTATATTATTACCCGAGGGTTTAGAGAGTGTTACATTAGTGGTATCAGAGCATGGTCGGCCAGTTGGCCAGGCTGTTAATGTGTTTATTTCCTTTTGTATTCAATATGTGTATATGACACAATCATCACTGTTTGTCTGATGAGAATTATTGGTTGATTGGAAATCTCGGGACGATTATTACAGGAAGGAATGACGATA